TCTTGATCATCCATTGTGACTAGAACGAATGAAATGCAGAAGTAGCTTCTTGATGGTTCAGAGACTATCAGTACTTTCTTTTCTCAACCGAAAATAGAGAGAATTCTCTCTTGTTGGCAATATTGCCAAGTTTGAAGAACATATACACTCAATAGCGTTCTTGTCAATGCAAAAGTAGAAACTCCTATTACAAGTCTAAAATAAAAAAGTCTATTCTCAGTCTAGACACAAACATCGGTACTATAGAATGAATAAAAATGGTGCCGTTTCTCCGTCGACTTTATTTCGTCTTTGAATAAATTATTAGGTCTACAACTGCATGCAAAAGTCAATGTTAAACACTATAATGATAATGACTCTTGTCGAATGAAACTTTTTTTTATCATTGATACTTGAAACTAGTCGATCCTTTTTTATTCTTTTGATTGCGACTCTCAGAATGTTGCTGAGAAAGTTCCGTAGTACTTGAGATAATTGCATTTAAGTTTCTCAAGATAATACAATCGGCAAGGAGAACATTTTATTGGTCATGGTAGAAATAGAACGAATGTGTTTTCAGTTTTTCAGTCAAAGTTTTCAAAAACATTTATTTTTATATCTAATTCATCCTACATTATTTATTTTTAGCTAATTAACGTAATCATTCTTATGTTCAAGAATCGATCGAAGACGAAACATATTGACTGTATGCGAAGATGAAAATTTTTATCCAATCCCATACATTATTAAACCAGACAGTTCTGCATTTTGTTTGCCAATTCATGTAAATTGCATGAATCTTGAGGTTATCAGTATGGCAGAAATCTCCATTTTCCGTGTTTCGAGACTCTGGAAAGGAATGTAAATTTTTCACAAGTCATGCATAACATATTGATTGTAGCCTATGACGATAGCTGCTTCAAGGAACACCAGCATGTCCAGAAAGGATTTGCTACACTAGGCTAAAATCGGAAATCGGCCAATTATCTTCCGATTTGTTTTATGAGGCATTGGCTTCAATGCAATTCAAATTATTACATGCGAATCTGTATTTCGTGAATCTTTTTCAAGCTTTACCATCGGGATTGAAATATGTTGATGGAGACGATCAATATGAATCTGATAAAGTACTTGTATATATCCATGAATGAAGCGTCCACAGTGATATTTCATCTATTCCAAACACCTCTTTTCAGCATCGGTAATCATTAAAATCTCGTAGTACACTATTCACTCAGCTTGTCCGGCTAAAATGGACCATGTTTGACCGAAGTTGAGAAGAAGGTTTCTTGAACTAGAAACAACCAAGCTTATTGGCTCAAAGTTTTTACAAGTTATCATGTATTCTCTATTGACAGATGTCATCTACTGTGAATACGGACGATAATATATGGCTTTTATCGGACAAAAAAAAGCGTTTTTTTTGTAGAAATGGTGAAAACAGAACCCTTTTGCCTTCTTTTATAATTTAAACACTACTTTATTACTTCAAAAAATAGAAATTACAGTAGTATTGTTCAAGTTTGAGCTAAAGTTTGACATCAGTGGTGCATCAAATATTGTTGTCAAAGCAGGAAAAATATGCTTTTCTAAGAGAGTGTAAAGAAAAAGAATGATAAGTGCATTATCGTAATGTTGTGGTGATACCTCTTTCTAGGAACAAATTTCCAAAGAACATATTTCATCATGGTAAGGTCTGTTATCTTAGCTACAAGTGCAAAATTAAAACATTTCCGTTGGAGCGAAAAACTTTCGAAAAATCTGGGCTGTTTTGAATCACTCTAATTAATGGATACTTTCGGATGAGTGCTTCACCACGACATTCTATTCTCTTAGAGTCATTACACTTTGGTCAAATGAAATAAAAGTTTTAGCACAACTAGAGCTCACATATCACGAGTGTAGCATAAGTTATAATTCCCCCCTGCAATTTTATTTTCTTACATGTTCTTAAAGTCGAAAAGACTCATATTTACAGTATATATATCAGATGCCTAGATCTATTCTATGCTAGAATTTCGACTTTATACTTCTTATTGTTACTGAGATGTATACATTACCAAAATCAAAAAAAAAGATCGAAATATTTTCAGAAATACCTGAGTATATTTTTAACACTTGATTATAATGTTACATAAAAAATAGTGCTCGAAAACAGATTTAGAAATCGAAATTTCTTTTAAACAATCACTAAACAAACATTCATCAATGATTATGTATTTGTTTCTCCATCTTGATCCATCACTAGCTTCAGTCGATCAGGTATTCCTTGCATCATTTGCCGACAGTTTTCCACAGTAAACGTTCTCCATTGTTGTACTACTTGATTTTTCAATTCTAATTAATTATCAAATTGTTATCCTCTCCATTTTTCTTTAATTGCATCCCATACATTTTCTATTGGTCAAATAACTATCTATAAAATTACTTAGTCAATATCAGACTTATCTTTGTCTCTTCGTGTAATTCATTCATACATTTTGTTGCTTCTGAGCGTTAAAATCAGCAGATAAAATAGATCATATTTTTTTCCTATTCATAACGACGATGACAAATAACAGAATGTAATAGTTATATGTAGTAGAGCAAAAGTTACTCGAAACGAATACAATTTTCTCATCCATAATTGTTCCAATTATAATTCAAAAATTCTTATTATTTTGGTAATGGTTGTATCTCGGTAATGATAAGAAGTATATAGCTGAAATTTTAGCGTAGAATAGATCTAGGCATGCAGTATATATACTGTAAATATCAGCCCCTTTGACTTTAGGAGCATGTAAGAAAAGAATATTGCAGGAGGGAATCAGAACTTATGCTACACCCTTTATCTAGATGCTGTGTAAGTGTCAGTTCTTTATTACTTTATATTTATTGATTTACGACAAGCTAAAGATAAAAAATGGTAGAGTGCATTACCTGTAGATAAGCTACACCAATTGTTTTGTTGGCATAATCATAGGGAAGAGATCAAGAAAAGGAAGCTAAAGAAATTTTAGCACATCCCGAAGAATATTCGTAGAATTCCTCTAGCTACGGGCCTGTTCAAAATAGAACTCTACCTCTTTATAGAGCCAAGGAACGTTGGTAATGTGTTTATGCCCAATGTGTCTTTATCTGTCCATATATATTTGGCGAACATTGTTAAGGGTTCGTTCTAAGTCACAATAAAGATAAGAGCAAAGCAAAAAATATTTACAGCAGTAGCGAAAATGTCGATATGTTGACAAAGGACGTCTGTAGAAATGAATAAGTGTATTTGATTTTTACTCTTTGGGCACATGATTTGAGTCAATTCTCAATCTTTCCATTTCGTCGAAATGCAAACATATTATTTTGGCAATGCGAAGAATTGACATATCTGAATAGATTTTACTTTTTTCTCATTTTTCTCTCATGGCCAGTTATTTCTTCCAAGTAAACTCATCACATTACCTAGCAAAAGCAAACGCAAGGTAGATTTAAAAATTGACGTAGTTACATATCGCGTGTTGTTGCGCTTCACGGTGCCGTAGAATCAGGCTGAGCTGTTCTATTTCTACGTTGATTTTGCACTAGTCGGCATGTCGATAATGTAGAAACATTGCTTGTATGAAGTTCGAATAGAAAATTAAATCAACACTCGTACGCGTCGTGAAAGAATATTTGGGCAACGAATGTTTGGTGATCGAAGAGAATCTTGATGAATTATTGTCAACGTCGAGTACGATTGATAATGGTGCATCTTGGTTTCGACGCACAACAGCAATCAGTACAAGTGATAATGTCACACAAATCATGATGGAAAAAGTCAGTCCACTGTCGATATTGATCTTTACTTTCGTTGTTCATTGTTTATTTGGAAGCCTATCGCCAATGATTGTCATTTTCATCGTTTGTTTTTCCATTTGTCGTATTTGCCGTTGGTTGAATAGCCAAATCTTGTCGAAAATATGGCTGTGCAATGTAAGCTACTTTTTAAATCGTCAAAGAAAAATGATTGTCATTGGACTTGGTGTGATCGAACTTGTGTCGATATTTACACCTATTGTCTTTTAAATCAGGCCAAAGCTGTACCATCAAATTTGCCAACAATTATTTTGGAGCAATCACATCAAACTAGTGTGGCTGTTATTCTCGATCGCCCACGACACCTTATTGAACAACATTTAAAAAAAAGAATGTCCTCACCAAAAATCTCGTTATCATTTACTTTGTGCTCACGACTTCTATTATATATTGACTTACCCGTTCGAGCATCGATTGCTGCGCTCAAGTTAGTCGAACGTTGGTACTTGAATTTGAAGATACCAGTTATTAAAATTAGTCAAATCGATCATCAATTAGATCATGATCCTATGACGGGTGATATTCAATGGAATAAACATTCGATCGAAACTCTTTTCAAGCATATTGAACAAGTGATCCAACAACGAGAATTTCCGTCTTCGACTATTGACGATTTGTTTATTCCGTGGCAAACGGAGCGAAACTTGCGTCTGTATCGATGAATAACAGAAAAACATGACGATCTACGTTTTTTTATGCATAGAATTTAGAAAAAAATATATTTAATCATCATTTTCAATTCAATCTTTTACAGCATCTTTCAGAACACTTTCCATTAGATTTATTTCTAACAAACCTGAGACAAATCCATTTTTCTTCCACTGTCTTGGCGAAGTTTTCTGTGGATATATTAGGATTCAGGCGATGGCTGTTAAAATACCGAAAAAAAATTGACTTCAGAGCTGTTCGAAAATGAAGTCATCAATTTTGGATCCATATTTTATTTCCTCTTCGCTAGCGTCCTCTCCCCTGCATCACGACATCATTGGTATAATAGGTCATACGGACATTAGCAGTGTCCGATGACCACGGTTTATGAATTCATCCGATTCCTTAACACATCTGTGGAACCTACTGTAATTGTTGAGGAACTAAGAACTGACTGCCATATAACTAACAGATTCTACTTCATATCTCTGTCAATCCATCGAAAGGTAACAATGACAGATGAAGAAGACTCTATTCCTCGAGCTCAATAACTTCTCAAACCTTCATACCCTATAAAAGAATTTACCTGTCGATAATCTCTAAGCCAATGAATCTGAAGAATATTGCTATCACACTATGAACTGAATTAAATCTGCTGGCAGTTCTTAAGATATGTAGTCATTATCTAGAAGGGTTAGCACTTTAGTTCTTTGACGCACTAAAGGAAATGATGTAAGACTTATAACATACTCTGAAAAAAAAAGGAGGTTTGCAGAACCCGTCGAAAAGGTTCTGTAGATTTCTAAAAGCATCCAAATGTGTCCAAAGTCTCAAAAAAAGGATAAAAAATTCGACAGA